TTCGATTCTGTCGATCAATCAGTGCTTTGACCACACGTGCTCAACAGGGTGTACCCCCAGAAGTTTGTGAACATGATTCGGTCCCTATATTCAGATACACCTGGGCGTGTGAGAGTGTATGGTGAGCTTTACTTCCCTACGGGCGAAATGGCCCAAGTGGTTAGAGTGCGAATTTACTGACCGGAAGGTCCGTGGTTCGAACCCGACCTCCGTCACTCGACTTCCCCTGTCTAGGCTTGGGCAACCTGGCAGTATCCCAGCCCTCGTGCTTCCTTCGGGTGGCATTGCAGCTAGGCACCGGAAAGGTGCTACAGCTGAACACTACTCCGTACAAAACATAGTGTCAGACAAAGTTGTCCACACTCTCCGTTCTGGCTCAACTCCGTCATTGATGAAATAACGAGGCGCACGCTGGATGGTCTTCAAAAACCCGGTGTTCAAATTGTTGCTGGTCAGAGCCGTATCGATCTGGAAATCGCTGAAATCGCCTTAATCTTTGAAGACCAAATTGAGGCACAAGCCCTGTTGAACAAGCTAACCACCATCATAGCATCTTCAAAGTACAAAGTCGTGCTTCAGAACCTGCAGTCCCTGAACATACCCCCAACAATTCAAGGAGAATCGCCGGCGGTTGTGAGGAGGTTTGCATACCTCGTTAGTTGTATTAGCTCTGATAGAAATGTGTCTGATGAAGTCAGTGCAAGAATCTTGAACGCTCGTTTTGCTAATTTGCGTCACTTGTGACGTTAAAAAGGCATATCACTAGATGTTAAGGGTCACATGTACCAGGCCACAGTAAGGGCTGTTGTATGGGTGCGAGGCATGACCTTTGCGGACAGATGATGTGAGGCGTCTTCAGATTTTTGGCCAGCGATGTCTTAGAAGTGTTGCTGGTATCGGATGCCTTCAACGATCCCGTAACGAGGTGATTAGAAAAAATTCACTCGGTTGTGCAGCCAGCACTTCAGTCGCGGAAAACATTCAGCACAATCAACTCGGTCGTGTGCTACGCATGAAAGAAAGCGTTCAGCTGTAGCACCCTTCCGGTGCCTAGCTGCCATGCCACCCGAAGGAAGTACGAGGGCTGGGATACTGCCAAGTTGCCCAAGCATAGATGGGAGAAGTCGAGTTCGAACGACGGACCTTGCGGTCAGTAAATTCGTGTTCTAACCACTAAACTATCTCGTCCGGCTCGAAGTCTAACCTCATGCCGATGATCTGATTGGTGTAGACAAGTTTGTTTACGTTGGCAGCTGAATCGGTCCCGGTGGTCTCGTCAAAGATAATATTTCCGTCCGTATTGGGAACACCAGAGCAGCCTTCGTGAACCTGTTTCATCTGTGGCGTGGGCCCGACAGCTTATCCGTCAGAGGTCGAGTTTACAATGCTGCGGGGCGCTCCATATTGTTATGCTGGTCAGAAACCTGGCCGCTGCGCACCGAGGGTGTAAGAAGACTTTCAGTACTTTTTGTAATGTACTACTCAGAGTTGCTGAAAATTCGTCCACAGCCCACGACCTTCTTGGAGCTCATCAGGTAGGCGCAGTCCCCGTATTTGTCCATCAATATCATCGGACCATTGCCCGATTATGTTGGTACACCGGATCGGTAATGCCACAGTACGTCGAGTAGTCTTTAGAGGAAATAACTCGCCTATGGTGGGTAACACCTAGCTGTGCATAGCTGATACGCTACCCGAAGGAAGCACAAAGGCGGATATGCCTTCAGGTTGCCCAAGCCTAGACAGGATCATTCGAGATGAAGAGTTCGAGCTTGAACCACAGACCTTGTGGCCAGTAGGTTCGCGCCATATCCAACAAGCTATCTCGAGCTATATGATAGATGAGCTTATCACACTCCCTCGGTTGGCTGTCTTGGTCATGTCCTCCGTATGTCAGACGACAGACTTCCTCCGCGAACCCTTTTTGCACAGCCACGCGAAGGGTGGGAACGAGGCACGGGAGGTCATACAGCGATTTGGGAGTGAAGTATGAAAGTAATCATTGGCGAACTCAGCTGCGCTGTCCATTGCTTTCTCCCTGGATGGGGACCTCGAGCTGGGTCGTATTGATGTTCGGGGACATTGTCAGACATGACCCAGTTGCGCCCTCGATGTCGCTAGCGCATCCAAGCATCTTCAATGCATAGCTCCCCTCCCGATCTTCTCACTGAAAAGCCCACTAGCACTCCCGTATTTACGCATCAATTGTCCGATGCGCAGCCACCCACCCCACCTTCCCAAATCATTGGTGAACGAAACTGTTAGCTGTGAACACTACAGCAGATACGCGGTTTTTCAGCTGATGGTGATGGTGACGTATGGCTGCGAGAGTTGACCACTTCCGGTAGAGGAAATGAGACATCGTCAGGTCTTTGACCACCGATGTCTCATGAGTGCATCCAGCACTGCAAGTTGATCTGGCTGCGCCATGTGTTACGCATGCCCTGTCACCACCTTCCCAAACAAGGGCTGTTTTCCGTGCCCAATTCGAAGTGGCGGAAAACTAGAGTTGGACAGACGGAAATGAAGAGTGTGACGGAAAGCCTGGGTGCCGTTGGTGCTGTTCGCCTTCCAGGTTGGGGTCCACGTGACTCTCTATGCTTGACTGGAGGCACTGAATGGTATGGCGGCCATTCGGTTGTTTGCGGTAGACTAGATCCCCTCTACCTCCCATTTCTTATTTTAGATACATGGCTTTATCAAAGTAAACTAATGTGGTTGTAAGGTAGTTAGGCATCAGTGTTCTCTGGTTTTGCCGTCAATGATTTTGAAAGGTTAATTAGAGTTCGTGGATAGCATTGAGCATCGATATTGGACTTCATCCTACAATTGGTGCTATTGTCACAGGTGCGAATTTACTCCATCAAGCCATAAAACGCTGGGATTTGCAGTTGAATAGTGAGGTCTTGGGTTAGTGTTGTTGAGTGGCGGGGCGTACTGGGTTCTGCTGTAGGAATCAGAGAACCCTATCCCAAAATGCCCTGTGAAGCAGTAATGCGTCGAAGTGTGGATGGTAAAGAGGTGGAAATGCTTCTCTAGACGATACTGAAATTCTGGACAGGATCAGAGCCTGAGGTAAAAGGAGGAAAATGGATAAGCTCTTTTCTGTCCTCTCTCAGATCTGTTTTCTCAAGATCAGATCGTGCGCAGAAGCGCTTGGAGGATTCTGCAACATCCTCTTAACAGGGCACATGTTGCTATTAGGTGTACCGCTACTTTTTTAATAGATAACCCCGAAGACTTGCAATACCATGATATGAAAGACCAGTTCAAGTACTGATGGCTGTATCCATTTGTTTGCGCGCACTCGAGGGCTTTTTCTAGATACGCTACTGATATCGCAATTAGTAGTTCAAGTATGAGCCACTAATTTTGCTCGCAACCACGGCTGACCCTATCCGGTTCCGACCATGTTGTAATTTTCCGATGTAGCTATTCTAGCACCATGTATGACCATAGGGAAACTGGTTAGTTTTTGGAGTTAATCTCTATTGGGAGTGAGTGGACTGTCAAAAGGCGTTTATGCTTGGCTGCACAGTCCCTGTCGGCTTCTACTCCTTATCGTAAAGGTCAGTCCACGCAAATATGTCCTGGATTAGCGTATGTTTCCCGTAAAAATTCTGATGGGTTCGTCCTAATATCACTGTTTCAAGTACAGTGAAATTTCACTTTGTTTACCTATGGAGAGAGGGAGGAAATACATGTAGGCCCCTTCAGTATGTTGACTCCAGATGGTCGGTCATAAAAGCAGGTTTCTGTCCGATGAATTAATTTCAGAGGTCTATAAGTTTCCATGACGATTTCAGCCTCGCTGACATCCTACACACACTCCTCGAAGCATGCAGTGATACCCTCTCCCCTCCACATCAGTCGTCATTATTTGACATGCTTTCACGGAAATGGGATCTCCTCTGGCCCTGGCGTAGCTTAATTTCTCCCTGGGTTACAGCTCGTTCACATTCCGATTTGAATAAGTTGAACTGTCTGGAGGGATGCCAGATTAACTCAGTAGAATATTGTTAGGCAACTCACAGCAGACCTCAGGTTCACACACACTGTGGGTCGCTGTTTGATGTCCTGACCTTGCCCTCTTCCCTTTACTGCGTATTAAGGAAGTGAAGCATACTGGCTTTGGCCAACGTATAGATAATTACATTAATTTGCTTTTAGTGTATTTATTATCCACTGGGCGATCCAGATTGTAAAAGGTCGTAGAAGACCAGTGCCTTTGTCACAATCACTCGCAAAATTTTCTATGTAGTCCAAGCAGCATGTCTTTCAACTGAAGCCTCTAACTGACGCATTAAATATTTTTATCTATTATGTGCGTTCTTCCCGACCAGTGGGAGAATGATGTGCATTGCACTAAAAAATTAGTTAAAAGCAGTGTCCCGGACTTTTTCCTGAGTCGTTCTTTTCCATTCTGTGTCGGTCTTTGTTACCTTCAACATCAGCTTCAATTGGATACAGATAATCTGGGCTGATTCCAGGATTAGTCTTTTTGGGGTAAATATGTATCATTGTAATGATCTCACCCGTTGACCGCTGAGCGAATGCATGTCAGTATTGATCGCCACGCTCACGGTTGCTTTTTATGCTACACGAGCATGGAAGTACAGTATGGAGCGTACCTAAACCTCAGGGGGATCCTAAGTAATATCAAAAGATCGCCAAAAATGCATCTTCACCGACCTGTTGCTCAACGCACGGCATTCATGTTTGCTTGACTACGCGCCATACAATATAACGTATTTCTTTAGTGACAATCGTACGTACTCGGGTGATAGCGTCAGTTGCCTGACAACAGGTAGTCATTCACTATTGGATGGTTCTGGAACCCGCGAACTGTCGATTGCCGGACGAGTGCTACATCAACCGAGCTCACCACACTAATTAAGATACAGGATGCTAACAACCATGTTTGATAATAGGTACACTTTATTACGCGAACCGTATCAAGCGTGTATGAGAGCCTTCTTCTTTTGTGGGCATTTTGTTAGTCTCCACCCCCACCAACCAACTATCGCCTCTCTTCACGTTTTTCAGTCCTTTCCGCATCGTCAGCGATTGTGGCGCAGCGTTCGCCATGGGGTCCATAGGCGGTGGTGTGATTCACTCCTACAAGGGCTACAGAAATGCGCCTTCCGGTTACATACGCAAGCTTGCCAGCGCCCTCTCAAACGCGAGACAACGCGCTCCACTGTTGGGCGGCGCTTTTGCCATTTGGGGCGGGATGTTTACTGCTGTCGACTGTACACTTGTGTTTGCTCGTCAGAAGGAAGATCCATGGAACTCCATCACTTCTGGTGCGATAACAGGAGCTGTTCTGGCTGTCCGCCACGGACCAGCGGCCATGGTTGGTCAGGCAGTAATAGGCGGTGTGATCTTGGCCATCATTGAAGGACTTGGTATCATGATGAATCGATTTGCACCTATGCTAATGCGTAAGTTATTTATTTTTTTTGCTTGATCACATTGGGTATGAATATTGCTTTTAGTTTGAGTGAAGTACTGATTGGATGGGCGGACTCCAGATTATCGTTAACTGATACATTAAAGAGTTACTAGTCTCTTGACGTACTGACATATGTAATCCGAAGTCCCTAAATCTAGACAGCCCTGCACACCTGCTTCTCAGGGCCAGTGGTCAGTAGCCGTTTGAAATGTGGTCCCAGTGGGATTTTTCGTACTCTGCCATGCGGGGGCCTCTGTGTGACGACCCTCTTCCTAGCCACCGTCTGATTGTGCACGGCAGTCCGGGCTACGGTCCGAGTCGCGTAATATTTCCGAGTTCGTGCTTGTCAGAGCCCAGCCTTTGTCGTCACTGGGTTGCTAAGCCTGCGATCATGTGCCTGCCTGCTGGAAAATCTTCATCATTTCCAGGAACCCGTCGATTTTCTTGAACAAACTTGTTAGATTATGGGACAGTACGAATAACCCGATAGAGACGAGTAAGGACCGCAGAGCAGATTCGTTTCAGCACTATCCTTCATCGAAAGAGCGTGTGCCACATGGGAAAATAATCCGGGTTGGTCCTAGCTGGACTGCCTCGTTAAGGTTTACATTGGGCAAGGTTCGCATTGTGTGCTGAGCGAATCCCGCGTTAGTAGCTCATCATCAACACCACTCGAACATGCTGGAGTCTTTTTGTAGATTGTTTCCCTAGAAGCGTCCGATCACGATCCTTTCCGTTTGTCTGTACTTTCATTGGGACGTTGCTTACACATTGTTGTGTGGTACTGCAGTGCTTAGTGTTTACCGCTGGCTTATTGCTGGGCGTACTGACGATGATGATGTCGCCTCGATTTACAAGTTAACAAGCCGGTACATAGGCTAAGTGAACGGCGGGTTTCTGTAACATCCCCTTATAATGTATCTGTCAGATTCGTCAGTTCATTGGAATGGAGAAGACTGTCCATTTTTGGATCCGTTAGAGGTAAGCCTCGCCTTGATTCTGTTGACAAGATCAGCTCCAGGATTAGGATGAGGTCGGGGAACTGAACCACGGCAATTCCACTGGAGAGGTCGCCACGAGATTGTTTCGTCTCGGGCGGGGGGGGGGGGCCTTTTG